TTAGGGTAAGGTTTAGTGATAAATAGGTTTGTGGTTAAGGTTAGGGGTAGGGTTAGGATAATAGGGTTGGGGTTAGGGATAGGGTTAGGGTTAGAGATAGGGTTAGGGGTGGGTTAGGGATAGGGTAAGGGTTAGGGTTGGGGTTGTGGTTAGGGTTAGTGATATAGAGGTTTGTGGTTGGGGCTAGGGTAGTCTTAGACTAAGGGTTAGGGGTAGGGTAAGGGTTAGGATTGGGGTTGTGGTTAGGGCTACGGTTAGGATAATAGGGTTGTGGTTAGGGGTACGCTTAGGATTACCGATACGGTTAGGGATAGGGTTAGGGATAGGGTCAGAGTTAGGGTTAGGGTTATGTTAAGAGGGTTGGGGTAAGGGATAGGGTTAGGGTTACAGATAGGGTTAGGGGTAGAGTTAGGAATAGGGTAAGGGTTAGGATTGGGGTTGTAGTTAGGGTTAGTGATATAGAGGTTTGTGGTAGGGGCTAGGGTAGTGTTAGATTAAGTGTTAGGGGTAGGGTTAGTGGTTAGGGTTAAGGATAGCGTTGGTGTTAGGGATAGAGGTAGGGTTTATTATAAAAGGGTTGGGGTTAGGGATAGGGTTAGGGTTACAGATAGGGTTAGGGGTAGGATTACGGTTAGGGTGAGGGTTAAAGGTAGGGTTATGATAATAGGGTTGGGGTTAAAGGTTACAGATAGGTTCAGGGGTAGGGTTACGGTTAGGGGTTAGGGTTGAGGTTTGGGATAGGGTTGGGGTTAGGGTTAGGGTTAGGGGTTGGGTTATGAGAATAGGGTTGGGATTAATGATAGGGTTAGGGGTGAGTTGTGATAATAGGGTTGGGGTTAGGGGTACGCTTAGGGTTAGAGATACGGTTAGGGCTAGGGTTAGGGATAGAGTTAGGGTTAGGCTTATGATAAGAGAGTTGGGTTATGGATAGGGTTAGGGTTACAGATAGGGTTAGGGGTAGGATAAGGGTTAAGATTGGGGTTGTGGTTAGGGTTAGTGATATAGAAGTTTGTGGTAGGGGCTAGGGGTAGTGTTAGAGTAAATGTTAGGGGTAGGGTTAG